AGATTATGAAAATGCGTATTTTAAACTAAACGAAATTATAGATCAAATTCCTGCTACCCATAATAAATATGATGATGTTGTATACAAACTTTCATTATGTATTTTGAGGTTGGATAAAAAAAATGAATTTGGTAGAGTTAAGATCTTTATTAAATATTTTAAATCATTAAGCAATTCTGGACCAAAAAAAGGAAAACAAGATTATAAAATATTAGCTAATGAAATTGAAAATGAACTATCAGAAAAGTTATTTTCATCTATTGATCAAATCTAAAGCATAATTAACAATTATTATGCTTATAATAAAGGAAATAAGAGTATCGAAAAATATGAAATTAAAATAATTAACTAAGACGGTTGATATTATAACCCCTACCGATTCTACCATGTCTGATAAAATATGTAGATACATCCCATATAACGAATTATCATTGTGACATTCTTTATGAAACATCACAACCCCTAATAAATTAACAAAAAATCCTCCTAAACTTGTTATTAATAATTTGTTTTTATTTATTTCTGGTATATTAAATAATTATTTGTAAGCTTCATTTAAGATTGTAAATGATGTTACCAATAATAAAATGGCGCTAATAATATTTGAATCTCTTTCTATTGTTTTTATTATTTTTTTGTTTGTGATAAACATAGTTTTAAATATAAATATCAGTATCGTGATCAAAATACCTAAGCAGTCTGTCATCATATGTATCAAGTCACTAATTAACGCCAAACTATTTGATTTTATCCCAATCACTATTTGAAAAATTGTATAGGATAACGTCACAAGTAAAAATAATGATATTTTTAACAACATCGTCTAAATTATTTTAAAAAAATTTACAACTATTTATATTTAAACAAATTAAAACTTAATAATTAAAAATAATATTTAATCTCGTTATTTATTTACCGTATCAATCATAAAATGGAAAACCAAAAAATTCACGAAATCGCATCATGTTTGCTTAATAAGCAATATCAAACAAAAAGAACAAGTAATCCATATATTATCTTTAGAACATTATATTATGAAAAACAAATTGAAAATTTTCAATACGG